GCTTGAGCCCAGGAGATTGAGGTTGCTGTGAGCGAGGCTGATGCCACGGCAATGTAGCCCGGGCAACTCTCAAAAAACAAAACAAAACAAAACAAAACAAAAAACAAACATTCCAGGCCATCTCAAACCCTGAAGAGTCCCTGGTTTCTGTGACGGGAAGAATTCAGCTAGCGAATAGCTGGATTAAAATCCAGGCAAGAATGCTCTAAATCTTCTTCTTTGGGTTCTTCTTCGTAAAAATCTGTTGTAGGAATTCCCAGATAAACTCCGTTCACTGGTTTTCTATGCTGCTCTCTGTGTTTTTCTTTGTGTGGTCCGTCTTCTTTTCTTTCCACAAATTCCCGAGCACAATCCCTAAAAAGAGTATGAGTCCTATTGTTCGGTTGGAGGTAAATTTATCCCAACAATCCTCAGGCCTGTGGATGTCGAGAGTGTAGACCTGTGGGGAACACGACTCGGCGTTAGGACCCAGCCTGCACTCGGGGTGCGCGCACGCACAAACACGCACACACACGTCAACACAGAGAAAACAGCAGTGTTATAGAATTTTTTTAATTAATATATATATTTTTTGAGACAGAGTCTCACTCTGTTGCCTGGGCTAGAGTGAGTGCCGTGGCGTCAGCCTCGCTCACAGCAACCTCCGACTCCTGGGCTCAAGCGATCCTCCTGCCTCAGCCTCCCGAGTAGCTGGGACTACAGGCATGCGCCACCATGCCCGGCTAATCTTTTCATTTTTTTGTAGAGATGGGGGTCTCACTATGTTGCCCAGGCTGGTCTTAGACTCCTGGGCTCCAGCGATCCTCCCACCTCGGCCTCCCACAGCGCTAAGATTACAGGTATGGGCCACTGGTCCAGGCCCTAGACATCAGATTTTAATTTCCTTCATACTGTGTTACACAAGTCTTGCCTACTCTGATAAGTAATTTGCAATAATATCTATAAGACAGATCATCTAAATACAGGTTCCCTAACATCTTTTTGATTCTGTCTAATAAAAATAACAGTAACATGGACACAGAAATACAGCTCACTTACTAGCACCTGATTTAATTAAAAGTAGATTTAGCTGATTCTCTTTCTTTACAAATCAATAATGTAGATTCGCCGGGCGCGGTGGCTCACGCCTGTCATCCCAGCACTCTGGGAGGCTGGAGGCGGGGAGGATCGCACAAGGTCCAGGAGTTCGAGGACAGCCCTGAGCAAGAGCGAGACCCCTGTCTGTACCTAAACAATAGAAAGAAATTTAATTGGGCAAGCTAAAAATATACTATAGAAACAAAATTAGCGGCGTGGTGGGCGCATGCCTGTGCGTCCCAGCTGTACCTCGGGAGCGCTTGAGGCAGGAGGAGTCGCTTGAGCCCAGGAGTTTGAGTTGCTGTGAGCGAGGTCTGACGCACGGCACTCCTCTATGCCCGGGCAACGAGTGACGACTCTGCTTCAAAACAAACAAACAAACAAAACAAAACTGTGACTCAGGCCAAGGCCACAGGAGGGACAAGCGCGACAGCGGCCGAACCTGGCGGGCCAGATGCGCTCCCACGGCGAGCAGCGCGGCGTAGTAGGGCGCGGTCTGGCCCGCTCGGCCGACCAGGCCCAGGCCAGCATGCGGCGCCTGAAGCGCCAGCCACGCGCTTGTGTGGCCGCGGAATCACGCAAGCGCGTGGACTTCAGGCCGATGAGCGCGTCGTCTCTTTTGTCCTGACGAGGGAAAGACATGACAAATGCCCGCTGTCTGGGGATCTCACCCACGGCGCCCCCCTGCGCACGCAACCGTGGAAACGAGGCCGCGCCGCGCCCTTCACTCTCGCTCGCCGGCTTCTCACCCATCACCACCCCGGAAAAGTACAGCGCGGCAGCAGACGCGCGCGGTCGCAGGAGCCCGCACGGCAACAGCCGAGCAAGGCTGCCCCCACGTTAAACGTCAGCTGCGGGCAGCGCACCGACAATGGGGGGCTCAGTGGTGCTAAAAAAGAGCCAAGGGACAGGGCGCGCCCGGTGCAGGTTGCTCCCTACGCACGGGGCAGGTGCTCCCTACGCCGGCTGCTCTC